GGCTGTTCTACTTGCTGTAGATGATGCTAACTGCAGAGTCACAGATCCCATTGCTTCTGCCTCCCGAGTGTTGGGAATAGAAGCCTGCACCACTAAGCCCAGCTCCATATGGTGCTCACACTAATTTACATTTCCTCTGATAGTATAGAGTGACCCCTTTTCAGTCCTCACCAACATTTTTCCTGCTTTCTCTCTTTTGATTATTAGCTGGTCCTGGTGGCACACACCTCTAATCCCAGGGCTCGGGAGGCAGAGGCAGGAGGATCTCTGTGAGACTGAGGTAAACCTAGTCTACAAGAACTAGTTCCATGGGAAAAAAAGATATTCATCAGTCTGACTATAAGACGAGGCCAGTTCAGGCACCCTCTCCTCTATTGCTTAGGGTCTTAGCTGGCGTCATCCTTGTGGATTCCTGGGAATTTTTCTAGAGTCAGGTTTCTTGCTAACCTCATAATGGCTTCCTCAATCAAGATATCTCTTTCCTTATTCTCATCTCTGTCCTTCCTCCATTTCGACCATCCCGTTCCCTCAAGTTCCTCTCCCCTTCTCCCCTTCTAATTCTTCTTCTACCCTCCCTTCTCACCCCACCACTATGTTCCCAACTTTATCAGACGATAAAATTGCAAATAATACTGTTATGAATATAGTTGAACAACTGTCTTGGTAGTAAGATTGAGCGTCTTTTGGGTATATGCCCAAGAGTGGTATTGCTGAATCCCGAGGTAATTTGATTCCCAGTTTTCAGAGAAAACACCACACTGATTTTCAAAGTGGTTGTACAAGTTTGCATTTTCCAACAGCAATGGATAATTATTCCCCTTACTCATCCCCTCCAGCAGAAGCTATCATTGATGTTTTTGATCTTAGCCTTTTTTACTGATGTAAGATGGTATCTCAGAGTTGTTTTAATTTGTGTTTTCCTGATAGCTAAGGACGTTAAACATTTCCTTAAGTTTCTTTCGGCCATTTGAGATTCTTCAGTAGAGAATTCTCTGTTTAGTTCCGTACCCCATTTTATTTTTAGTTATAAACTGATTGGTCTATTAGCTCAGACTTTTTATTGACTCATAACTTATATTACCCCAGTGTTCTTGTCTGTGTTGGCCACGTGACTTGGTGCCTTATTTGGTGAGGCAGTGGCGTCTTGCTCTTTCTGTGGCTGCCGGACCCCAGTTTTAATTGGGTGATTTGGTATTTTTATGTCTAATTTCTTGAGTTATTTATATATTTTGAAGATCACACCTTTGTCTGATGTGGGGTTGGTGAAGATCTTTTCCCATTCAGTAGGCTGTCTTTTTTGTCTCATTTACTGTGTTCTTTGCTTTACAGAAGCTTCTCAGTTTCAGGAGGTTCCATGTTTTTATTGTTGCTCTCAGTGTCTGTGGTACTGGGGTTCTATTTAGAAAGTAGTCTCCTGTGCCCATGCATTGAAGATTACTTCCCTCTTTCTAGTCTATCATGTTCATTGTGGTCTGATTTATATTGAGGTCTTTAATCCATTTGGATTTGATTTTTGTGCATGGGAATAGATATGGATCTATTTTCATTCTTCTACATGTTGATATCCAGTTACGCCTGCCCCATTTGTTGAAGGTTTTTTTTTTTGCTATTGTATAATTTTAGCTTCTTTGTCAAAAACCAGGTGTTCCTAGGTGTGTAAATTACTATCTGGGTCTTCGATTCAATTCCATTGGTCAACCTCTCTGATTTTATGCCAGTATCAAGCTGATTTCATTACTGTAGCTCTGTAATAAAAATGTGAGAGATGGTGATGCCTCTGGAAGTACCTTTCTTGTACAGGATTGTTTTGTCCTCCTGGGTTTTATATTGTTCAATATGAAGTTGATTATTGTTTTTTAAGGTCTGTGAAGAATTGTATTGGGATTTTGATGGGGATTGCATTCGGTTTGCCAGTATTTTATTGAGTATTTTTGCACCTATGTTCATGAGTGAAATTGGTCTGTAATTCTCTTTCTTGATTGAGTCTTTGTGTGGTTTTAGTATCAGGGTAACTGTAGCCTCATAAAAAGAGTTTGTCGATGTTCCTTCTGCTTCTATTGTGTGGAACACTTTGAAGAGTGTAGGTGTTAGCTTAGCTTTTCTAGGAAATTCTAGTAGAACTCTTCACTAAAACCATCTGGCTTTGGGCTTTTTTTGGTTGGGAGGTTTTTGATAACAGCTTCTATTTCCTTGAAGTTTATAGGTCTATTTAAATTGTTCACGTGGTCTTGATTTAATTTTGGTGTATTGTATCTATATTGAAAATTGTCCATTTCTTTTACATTTTCCAATTTTGTGGAGTACAGGTTTTTGTAGTGTGATGTAATGATTCTCTGGATTTCCTCAGTGTCTGTTGTTATGTCCCCCTTTTCACTTTTGATTTTGTTAATTTGGATGTTCTCTCTCTGCCTTTTGATTAATTTAGATAAGGGTTTGCCTACCTTGTTGATTTTTTTTCAAAGAACCAGCTCTTTGTATCATTGATTCTTTGGATTGTTTTCTTTGTTTCTATTTTATTGATTTCAGCCCACAATTTACTATTTTTCTGTCTTCTACTCCTTCTGGGTGAGTCTCCTTCTTTTTGTTCTAGAGCCTCCAGGTGTGCTGTTAAGTCAGTAGCATAAGTTTTCTCCACTTTCTTTATGTGGACAGCACTTAGTTCTATGAACTTTCCTCTTAGCACTGCTTTCATAGTGTGCCATAGGTTGGAGTATGTTGTGCCTTCATTTTCATTGAATTTTAGGAAGTTTTTAATTTTTTTCTTTATTTCTTCCTTGACCCAGGGGTGGTTCAATAGTTCACTGTTCAATTTCCATGAGTTTGTAGGCTTTCTGAGAGTAGTGTTGTTGTTAAATTTTAGCTTTAAACCATGGTGGTCTGATAAGATATAGGGGGTTACTCCCATTTTTTTTTTTTTGCGTCTGTGGAGGTTTGCTTTGTTACTGAGTATGTGGTTGACTTTAGAAAAGGTTTCATGAAGTGCTGAGAAGAATATATATTCTTTTGTGTTTGGATGGAATGTTCTATAGATGTCTGTTAAGTCCATTTGAGTCATGACATCTGTTAGTTCTCTTACTTCTAAGTTTCTGTCTGGTTGACCTGTCCATTGGCAAGAGTGGAGTGTTAAAGTCTCCTACTATTAATGTGTGTGGTTTGATGTGCAGTTTAAACTTTAGTAATGTTTTACATATGTAGGTGCTTTTGTATTAGGGGAGTGATGTTCAGGATTGAGACTTCATCTTGATGGATTATTCCTGTTATGAGTATGAAGTGTCCTTCCCCATCTCTTCTGATGGATTTTAGTTTGAAATCAATTTTGTTAGATATTAGTATAGCCACACCTGCTTGTTTCTTAGGTCCATTTGTTTGGAAAACCTTTTCTCAACCCTTTACTCCGAGGTAGTGTCTGTCTTTGAAGTTGAAGTGTGTTTCTTGTATACAGCAGAAGGATGGATCCTCCTATTTTTATATCCATTCTCTTATCCTGTGCCTTTTTATAGGTGAATTAAGCCTATTGCTATTAAGAGATATTCATGACTAGTGGTTATTAATTCCTGCTATTTTTCAGTGGTAGTGGTTGTGTGTTTCCATTTTTTTGAGTTTTGCTGGTGGAAGGTTATCTGTTGCCTGTGTTTTTGTGGACGCAGTTAGCTTCCTTGGGTTGGGGTTTTCCTTCTAATACTTTCTGTAGGGCTGGATTTATGGATACATATTGTTTATCTGGTTTTGTCATAGAATGTCTTATTTTCTCCATTAATGGTGATTGAAAGCTTTGCTGGGAATAGTAGTCTCTTAGTGTCTGTAGTGCATCTGTCTAGGACCTTCTGGATTTTATGGTTTCCACTGAGAAGTCGGGTGTAATTCTGATAAGTCTACCATTATATGTTATTTGACCTTTTTGCTTTGCAGCTCTTAATATTCTTTCTTTATTCTGTATGCTTTGCATTTGGATTAATATATGCTGAGGGGATTTTTTTTATGCAGTCTATTTGGTGTTCGGAATGCTTCTTGTACCTTCATAGGAATATCCTTCTTTAGATTGGGAAAGATTTCTTCTATGATTTTCTCTGTCTTTGAGCTGGAGTTCTCCTCCTTCTTCTACTGTTATTATTCTTAGGTTTGGTCTTTTCATGGTGTCCCAGATTTCCTGGATGTTTTGTAATAAGAATTCGTTGGATTTAGTGTTTTCTTTACCAGTGAATCGATTTCCTCTACAGTGTCTTCAATATCTGAGATTCTCTGTTTGGTCTTTTGTATTCTGTTGGTTATACTTGCCTCTGTAGTTTCTGTTCATTCAACCAGATTTCTATATCCAGAATTCCCTTGGTTTGTGTTTTCTTTATTTCCTCTATTTCAGTCTTTAAGTCTTGAACTGTTTGCTTCACCTGTTTGTTTTTTCTTGGTTTTCTTTGAGGATTTATTAATTTCTTCTCTGATTTTTTTATTTGTCTTTTCATCCATTTCTTTAAGGGAGTTTTTCATTTTCTCTTTAAAGGTCTCCATCATCTTCATAAAGTTACATTTAAAATCATTTTCTTCTGTTCTTCTGGGTCTAGATGGGAAGTCTCCTATTGTGTGATCGCTGGGTTCTGGTGTTACCATGCTGCTTTTTTAGTTGTTGGAGGAATTCTTGCCTTGGCGCCTACCCATCTTTTCTTTCAATTGATGCTGGCAGTTTCTTTGCGTCTCGGTCCAATCCTTGCAGTAGCTGTCTTATTTGGGAATAGTTCTTGGTCTGGTCTGTACTGTCAGTGTCTGTCTCGGGGAGCCTCTGAGGTCTCCGTTAGCCTGCTCTCTCTGTCGTCTCTCCTGGTTCAGTGTCTTGGTCTGCTCTGTGCAGTCACGGCTTGTGCTTTAGAGTCCCCCCTTGGTCCTCGGAACTCTTGATCTCTGGCTAGAGAAGTTATGGCAGGTGGGGGCTGGCCCAGGGATCTGGCCCTTTGTGGAGGGCCTAGTGACTAGGGTGTTCTGCCGGCTGTCGGGTCACTCACCTCTTGGTCCTCTCTATATTGTAGCAAACTGTGTTTCAGAGTGCCACTGAGGTTGCAGGAGGTAGTGAGTTTGGAGGCCGGATGGGGGTTGTAGCTTGCGGGGGTGCGGGGTGGTCAGGTGGATGGGGGTGGGTATTGGGGCAGCCTACTGGCAGGAATCTTTCCTGCTGGCTGGCTAGAGAAGCCAAGACAGTTGGGGGAGAGGCCCAGGGTTTTGCTTCACCCACTACAGAGGTCCTAGAGAGTAGGGTGTCCCACTGGGTGGCTGGACACCTCTTTGTCCTCTCTGTATTGTAGTAAGCTGTGTTTCAGAGTTCCACCAAGGTTGCAGGAGCGTAGACAAGTTTGGAGGCAGGATGGGGCTGATAGCTTCCTCTTTCCTTCTTTCTCTCTCTCTCTCTTTCTTTCTTTCTTTCATTCGTTCGTTTGTCTGTCGGTCCTCCCTCTTTCTCTCTCTCTCTCTCTCTCTCTCTCTCTCTCTCTCTCTCTCTCTCTCTCTTTCTTTCTTTTTTCAAACAGGGTTTCTCTGTGTTTCTCTGACTGTCCTGGAACTCACTATGTATGTAGACCAGGCTGGTCTCAAACTCACAGAGATCCACCTGCCTCCCTCCTGAGTGCTGGAATTAAAGGTGTGTACTATTGTCGCTTGGCCAGGGTAGATTTTCTACCCTCAAATGAATTGGATTTAGGGTGGGTCTTGTACCTCTGATAATCTTGGTTTTAAAGTAAATATCCCTCACAATTGTACCCAGCTGCCTGAGATTCAGTTAATTTCAGATGTAGTCAGGTTGAACACGAAGATCACCAGTCTCATTCCTGAATAGAGTGTTTGCCTGGTTCTTTGTATGAGCACTGCATGTGAAGGGCCAAGGAGATCAGAAGGAGCCATCAGATCCTCTGCAAACTGATATGAATGGTTGTTAGTCACCATGTTGGTGCTGGGAACAAAATTAGGGACCTCTGCAAGAGCAGCAAGTAGCTCAGTAGAGTATTTGCCTCTCTCTGGCTCCAATTTTCAGATTGTGTAAATATGAATATCTGTGCATAAGTGTGTGAGTTGCAGGTGCCCACGGAGGCTGGATAAAGACCGGCAGTATGAGTCACCGAATCAGGGCTGGGACCTGAACCCTGGTCCTCTACAAGGGCAAGTAGGTATTGTTAACCTGTGACCCATCTCTCCATCCTATTGTTGCTGTTTTATTTATATTTTCCTAATAGCTGGAGATGTTAAATACTTTTCCATTTGATTATCAATAATATACTGGTATGCCTGCCTCAGCCTCCCAAGTGCTGTGGTTACTGGCATGTAGTGCCATGCTCTGCCCACATTGGGATATTTAAAAAATAAAAGAGACAGGTGAGTGAGTAAATGTGCAGCCACCAAGCTTGGGGACCTGAGGTCAGTCCTTGGTATTCACATGGTAGAAGAAGAGAGCCAACTCCTCCATATTGTCTTCTGACCGCTACATGTGTGCTGTGGTATGTGTATGCACACACAGAGAATAAAGAAATGAATGTAATTTAAGAAGTTTTAAAATGTGCCTGGCGGTGGTGGTGTACGCCTTTAATCTAATCGCAGCACTTGGGAAACTGAGACAAGCAGATCTCTGTGAGTTCAAGGCCAGCCTGGTCTGCAGAGAGAATGCTAGCACAGCCAGGGCTATACAGAGAAATCGAATCTTGAAAAACGAAACCACAAACCAACAAGCAAAAACCAAACAAAGTAAATGTTTTAAAACGGAAGTCCTCTTGTCTCTTCCCTCAGCAGGACAGCCCCAGCAAGATCACCAGTACTGTACCGTGTTCAGTCTGGAGCAAATCAGGGTCTTGCAAGAGGCCTTCCACAGCAACGTGTTCCCAACAGAGCAGGAAACCCAGGAACTGGCTTCAAGGCTCCAGCTTAAGGACACAGTGGTGAAGGTTTGTGTGCAGATTGTGGCTCACAGTAGCCAACTAGGAAAGGCTTTGTGTGAGCGTTGTCGCTGTCATTTAAAGCTTTAATATTATTTTATGTTTGTGCCTGCTTTTCTGTGTGTGCACCATGTGTATGCCTGGTGCCTGAGGAGTCCAGCAGAGGGTGTCCCGTCCCATGGAGACAGAGTTGTTCGTGCTGGGTGCTGGGAATGGAACCTGAGTCCTCTGCAGGAGCAGCAAGTGCTCTTTAAGCTGAGCATCTCTCCGGTTCCACCCTCTTTCTTTCCAGTTTTTGTTTGTTTCTTTTTTTTTTTTGAGACTAGGTTTTCTGTGTGGTCCTTGCCATCCTAGAAATTGATGTGTAGACCAGGCTAGCCTTGAACTCAAAGAGATCTACCTGCCTCTGCCTCTCTAGAGCTGGGAATAAAGTCACACAACATCACTGCCCATGTCCTTTAATGTTTTTTAATAGTTCCTGTTTATTGACAATGATATTATCCAGTCAAGGATGCTATATACTCAGTGGTTTTATTCTCATGACCACTCATTTCATTTAGGCACACTAAGGCTCCATAGAAGATTATAAATACAGAATATGCAGTTCAAAACCACATCTTTTGACTCCAGTCCACAGATCTGAAGAATACCATTTCTGGAGGGGTTAGGTCCCACATTCTCTTGCACTGTGTTTGCAGACAGTGCACTCCAGATTGGAAGAGTTTTCACTGCTTCAAGGTCATGTTTAGCCCAGGTTGACCTCAAACAAACACAGCTGACTTGAACTCCTGACCTTTCCGTGTCTACCTTCCAAGTGGTGATCTCACAGTTGTGTGTCACCACATATAACCCAGAATATTGCCCCTGACATCTGAACCGTCTTTCCTTACTGTCTGTAATCTAGGATTAGATAAGGCTTCCTGTTTCAGCCGCTGAGAGTCCCACAACACCTACCTTTCGGGATCCAAGAGACTAGAAAGAGCATATTTAGATAAACATGAAGAGATTAGGAACTAGCCTTCTCACACCCACACCCCAATCCTGAGGATCATGCGTTTCTCCCCTGTACTGGTCCCTTAACTAATGTGCTCTCAGGCTAATGATGATGGGTTCAGTCAGCAGAGTGATTGCTTCGAATGCGCAAATTCTTAAGTTCTACCATGGCAAGAATCAAGTCACCCTGCCTCAAAAAATAATTAAGAGAAGAACTGCTGGAGCTGGAAACAGAGCTCAGTGGTTAAGAGTACTCTCTGGCTGTTGTTGTAGGAGATTTGGGTTTAATTCCCGGCACCAAATGGTGGCTCACTGCCACCTGTAATTCCAGGTTGATGGGATCTAAAGACCTCTTCTGGTCATCATGGACACTCAATTCATGTGCACAGAAACATAATTAAAATAATAATAAAAAGCCCAGGTATGTTGGTGTACACTTTAATACTAGCACACAGGAGGCAGAGGCAGGTGGATCTCTGTGAATTTCAAAACATTGTGGTCTTCAAGGCAAAAGAGAGGAACCCTGTTTAAAAAACCCAGATATATATTATTATGACATGTATTATATATTATAGTATCTTCAAAAAAGATGAGTTGCTTTTATAAAAAGATCCCAATCCATCCTTTCTTGTTTTCAGATATGGTTTAAAAGTCAGCGAGACAAACTTCAGACACAGCACAGAAACTATCAGAGGAGTTCACATTTGGCAACATCCAACCAGATGAAGGTAGTGAGAAGAGCATCGTCTAACCAGACTGTAATAGAGATGCATACATCTCCCAACCAGACTGTAATAGAGATGCATACATCTCCCAACCAGACTGTAATAGAGATGGGTGTATCATCAAACCAGGCTACAATAGCGATGGGTGTATCTTCCAACCACACCAAGAGAGTGAGAAGAGCCTCATCCAACCAGTCCAAGAGAGTGAGAAGAAGAGCATCACCTAACCAGGCATTGACAGAGATGGGTGCATCATCCAACCAAGCTACAATAGAGATGGATGCTTCATCAAACAAGGCAACAATAGAGATGGGTGCACCCTCCAACCAGGCATTGATAGAGATGGGTGTATCCTCCAACCAGGCCACGATAGAGAACAGTGCACCATCCAATCATACCAAGAGAGTAAGGAGAGCTCCAGCCAGCCAGTCCAAGAGAGTGAGAAAAAGAGCATCATCCAACCAGGCAATGATAGAGATGGGTGTATCACCCAACAAGGAAATAAAAGGGATGAATGCAAAATTCAATCAAGCAATGAGAGAGATGCGTGTGATATTGACCCAGGCACTGGAGGAGATTGATGCATCATTGAACCAGGAAACAAGAGAGATGGGTGCATCATCCAACCAAGCTACGGCAGAGGTGGATGCATCATCAAACAAGACAACAGTAGAGATGGGTGCATCATCCGGCAGTGAAATGAGATGGATGGGTGCAACATTCAATCAGGCAATAAAAGAGATGCGTGTAATATTTTACCAGGTAATGGAAGAGATTTGTGCATCATCGAACCAGGCAACAAGAGAGATGGGTGCATCAACCAATCAGGCTACAATAGAGATGGATGCACCATCCAACCAGGTTACGACAGAGATGGAGACATCATCAAACAAGACAATAATAGTGATGGGTGTACCATTCAATGAGGATATGAGAAGGATAGATGCAATATTTAACCAGGCAGTAGAAAAGATGTGTGTAATATTCAACCAGGCAATTAAAGGGATTGGTGCATCATCGAACCAGGCTACGATAGAGATGGATGCATCAATCAACCAGGCTACGATAGAGATGGGTGCATCATCCACTCAGGCTACCATAGAGATGGGTGCATCATCCAACCAAGCTACAGTAGAGATGGGTGCACCATCCAATCAGTCTACGATAGAGATGGGTGCATCATCCAACCACACCAAGAGAGTTAAGAGAGCCACATCCAAGCAGTCCAAGAGAGTGAGAAGAAGAGCAACATCCAACCAGGCATTGATCGAGATGGGTGCATCATCCAACCAGGCAACTATAGAATTGGGTGCATCATCCAACCAGGCAACTATAGAATTGGGTGCATCATCCAACCACACCAAGAGAGTAAGGAGAGCTCCATCCAGCCAGTCCAAGAGAGTGAGAAGAAGAGCATCATCCAACCAGGCATTGATAGAGATGGATGCATTATCCAACCAGGCATTGATTGAAACGGATGCATCATCCAACCGTGCAACGAGAGATATAAGTGCATCATCTAACCAGTCCAAACCAGTGAGAAGATCATCATGCAAGCAGGCAAAATCCTTGAAAGATGATGAGATCTTGGTCCCAAAGCCTGACTATACTCAACTTCTGAGTACCAGGGGCTCAGAGAACAGCGACCTGGAGTCACAGAACAGTTTTCGAACGCAGCAACCTGAAGAGGCTGGTGTCTTCTCAGGAACGTTCCTGGAGTATTCTGAGCTTTTGGATGTCTGCCAAACCAGCCTGGGGTTGGCCCAGTCTCCCTGGGCATCCATGCCCTTTAACATAGACACCTTGGTGAAAATGTATGCCTTGCCTGGGGATGATGACCCCAATAGATTTGATAAGTATCTCTTCCCAGGGTGTCTTGGCTGAGGTAGAGGGGTTGACATGATATATAAACCCATCCAAAGCTTTGAAGCAAGACCTGAAAATGCAAAGCAGTGAGTTTTTCAGGGGCAGGTTACCAGAGTAGTGTTCTCAGACTCATCTCCTGGCTGAGTTTCCAAACTGCCTCTTCAGGGAGTTAACAGGCAGTGGTAGTAGAGGCCCCACAGGCCTGAGAAGGTGCAGGACAAGTCCTAGAATTTCCTCCCTGGCTAACTCGACCTTAGGAAACAGTGCACTGATTAAACCTACTGTGGTTGAATGAAAATATCCTCCCATAGGCTCTTATGTTGAGTGCTTGGTCTCCAGTTAGTAGAACTGTTAGAGAGGGACTAGGGGTGTGGCCTTGCAGGAGGTGTGTAACTGAGGTGGGAGCTGAGGTTTCCAACTCCCTTGACAGGCCCAGTCTCTCTCTGACTGATGGATGTAAAGCTCTCAGCTCCTGCTCCAGAGCTATGCCTGTCTGCTTCCCATCATTATGGACTAACTCTATGAACCTGTAAGCAAGCCCAATTAAATGCTGTCTTTTATCAGAGTTCCTTTAGTCCTGTTGTCTCTTCACAAGAACAGATACTGGGGCTGGAGAGATGGCTCAGAGGTTAGGAGAACTGTCTGCTGTTCCGGAGGTCCTGAGTTCAATTCCCAGCAACCACATGATGGCTCACACCCATCTATAATGAGATCTTGTGCCCAGAACACTATATACATAATAAATTTTAAAAAAACAAGAACAGATACTTAGATACCTGCCTTCCATTTATTTTTTTCCTTGTGCTGAGGCTAAAGTTCAGGGCCTCTGGCATGCTAGACATGTGGGTATATTACTATAGAGATATACATAACCCTAGCCACTCAAGAGGGATTCTAGTTTGGGGTTATATATCACTGAGCCACACACAAAACCACGTACATGGTAGATTTGAGGCAGGTGCTCAACTACTGATCTATGTCCCAGTCCCTCACTGGGGAATTCTAGGCAGGGGCTCTACTACTGAGTCATGACTCTAATACCCATTTGTTATTCCTGGATGAAGTTTGTTAATAAACTGATGTTTATAGCTTCTCTCTGAGATACTGAGTCCTGGACTAGATTGGACTAGTCCAGGGTTTGTGTAAGCATTACAGCTACGATGGAAGTGTCCAGGCAGTTGGAAGCCAAGGAATACCACAAAGTCACACTGCACAACGTACTTCACACAAACGAATTATTGGGATGGAAAAGCCCAGAAGGGTGTGTTATCATTTCTCACACTGGGTGACCTGAGGCCTGTCCCACAAGGGGCGGTGATGGGTGACCCAAGGTCTTGTTGAGTCCCCTGGTGGGCAAAAGACAGATATACCATGCAGAGAGAGCTGGGGTATAGAGTTTATTTAGTGGGTTATGGAGGGGAAAGGGAAGGGGAAAATGAAGGCCAGAAGAGAGAGAGAGAGGCAGAAGCTGCCTCTCAGGAAGAGGGGTTGACAGAGATCAAGAGCAGGGGAGTGTGGAGGGCCGGACCACATTCTCCATTGCTTCTAGGAACAAAGGTAGAGATTGACCTCTGTGACCCCAAGGTGTGGCGGCACACGCCTTTAATCTCAGCGCACGTGCTTTGTAACTCTCTACCGCTGCGTCCCTGCCTACTCCCGAGGTTTCACCTGGGACTGGGAGCAGTCAGCCAATCCGGGAATGACACGTCCAGGGCAGGGTCTGTTTCCTTTATAAGGGATGGGTTCCATCTTATCTGGGTCCCCACGGCCGTGTTGGCTTATGCTCTGCTCCCAAGAGACATAAAGCTATTCTGCAGAAGGATCCTAGTGTTCCGTGTGGTTCTTGCTGGCGAGACGGTAGCGCGGGACATCTGGTGCTGATACCCGGGAAAAAGAAGAACTTTGCACCACCGGAGACCCCTTGGACACAAGGAGGATTCAGAACTGCAGGCATGCAAGCTTAGAGAGGTACGCTCTAAAGTCCAGAGAGCATATCAGAAACTGAGCAGCAGTGGGAGGTTGTGCGCGCACCCAGATAAGTTAAAAAGGACCCCCCGGTAAAGAATGGGGGAGACAGAAAAGAAAATAAGTTAAAAAGGACCCTCCGGTAAAGAATGGGGGAGACAAAAAAAAATAAGTTAAAAAGGACCTCCCGGTGATTTTGGGAGAGTGGAGATGGGGGAGAGGGCTGATTTGCAGGGTCAAAAGCTTTATGTTGTGTTGTTCATGTTGTCTTTTGTGTACTGGATGGGAGAGGGATATTTGAACTTGGAGACTGCTGAGGATGTGGTGTTTTGGGAAAGAGGTTCTGTTTTCGTCTCCACAGAAAAGGAGAGCTTAAGGGTGTACTTGGGATTTACGTGGTTTGAATCACCGAGACCTCCTGAAATGTTGTAATGTATACCCCTAAAATGCAGCGGCCCAATAACAGCAGGAAGCAGCCAAAGAGACTAAACGACGCCCAAATTCCCTTAAAGATTAAATGAGGTCCTTTCAAGCCTGCTTCTCTGAGTTCAGCTTTGCTCCGTGCACCGGTTTGGGCTCGGAGTGGGTGCAGCTGGGGCTGGAGGGCGGCTGGAGCGGAGCTTTGCTCTGTGGCTATGGTGGGAGGCATATTGCGCAGGCTCAGTTGGTGCCTGGCCTGGAGGGTATCACAGCAGTACCGAGAATGAGAACGGTGCCACAAGCTGCCAGGTCAGAAGGCTTGCAATGTGCCTAAAACTGTGAGGGGCTCTGAGGCTGGAGTGGCTTCTGTTCCGCTTGGCTGAGCTGAGCTGTGCTGATCCTAGGTAACAAAGGCATAGCCTGGGGCAACGGGCGGGGCGAACAATGCTGGCTACTAGCCCGAGAGATTTTCCATCTTTATAAGGAACTGAAGAGATAGCATAGGGGTTAAGAATGCTGCCTGCTCTTCTAAGGGTCGTGAGTTCAACTCCCCAGTGACCACATGGCAGCTTGCAACTATTTGGTTTTAAATCTAATGTTTCAGGATCCACAGGGAGGTAGATGCAAAAAGCCCTTAGATTTTTAAAGTGATTGGGTCGTTGGCTGGGTCTGTGAGAGTTTGTTTACAACTGCTTTTGCTGTGGCACAGGTGTTGAGAGTTGGCTAGTAGGAAAGCGGCCCTGGTCGCCGCTTCTCCCATTGGCCCCTTGAGCCGCAGCGGCTCTGGCGCGGACCTTGAGATGTTGCTGCCTGTGCCGCCTCGGTCTGAGTGTCGGTTCCCGCCACACTCCGCCACCAACACAGCCTCAGAGAACTAGGCTAGCCCCTCGGGGAAGGCAGGGGCGCCTGGGGGTGGAGCCGCCACTTCCTGGCCTGGGACAGGCGGAGCCGCACAGCGGGACACGGGGAGCCGCGCAGCAAGCAGGTCCAGGGCCGCACACAGCCCTTGGATGGCGGGCGGGCTCTGGAACCCGAGGCCACCGTACTGGCAAGGAATATGGGAGCCAATAAATCTTAAACCTTATATCAACAAACAGGGCCTGGGTTTTTCCTAGGCGCCACTGGGGCAGCACGGCCTATATCATAAAAAACAAAGACCCTCAATCAGTTATCTACCACAGTGGCTACAGCCCTGGATCAGCAGGCTACCATAGATACATCTATTAGAGGTAGAATAAAGAACAGGTGGATATCTTATGGCAGCTTGCCCAATTGGGCTGTAAATGGAAAACTCCAGCCTTATGTGTGACCAGTGTACCATATGAGAACTTTTTAAAAGTGGCTAACTTGTCCCGAGAATTGTCTTTGTATCTTGCAGGAGAATTTTGATGATTTGCTGTCCTCCTTGAGATGGTCCATTGTGACAATCAACTCCACGCGAGTGGACATAAGCCTGGCCAAAGAATTCCAGTCCTGGATTGTGTCCTTCATCCCCTACTTCAAAGAATGGGTGGGGGTGGAAATGTTTTGGAACAGTCCTATGTTATGGATTAGTGTTTTTCCTCTGGATGGTCTGCTGACTCAAATCCCAAAGTCGTAGGGACAAAGTGGTTATTGCACAAGCGCTGGCTGCCCTGGAACAGGGGGCCTCTACTGATGTGTGGTTATCTATGTTAAAGCAGTAAGGTTTAAGCCAACCAGCTCCTGCACCCCTAGGACAATGGTCCATTGCACAGGGTGGAGTGCTTGGCTTAGCTAGCCCTGAAGGTTGTGGAGCTGAAGAGCATCGCACAGAGAATGGCCCTCTCTGAGAGATAAGTCGCTCTGCTTAAGGGTTTCCTGCCATATAGTTCCCTTTCCCAGAAAATTGGCAGAGGGCAGGCCGGATAGGTTCCAGGTGTCATGAGCCTAGGGACAGATTCCGTGTAAGCCCATTTTAATGTTTTCATTTTGGGAAGTGCGACCTCTATCTTTACCTTCCTAGGGAGTTGCCTTTCTGCAAAGAAGTAAAATTAGGGGGAGATGTAGAGGGCCGCAACCACACTTTCCACCATAGATGGCGCTGCACCGCCAGGTGAGCTAGAAAGCTCACATGTGTTGGTATTTTCCACTACTCCCAAGGTTTCACCTGGGACTGGGAGCCGTTGACCAATCCAAGAATGACACGTCCAGAGCGGGGTCTGTTTCCTTTATAAGGGATGGGTTCCATCTTATCTGGGTCTCCGCCATGTGGCTTATGCTCTAGCTCCCAAGAGACATAAAGCTTTTCTGCAGAAGGATCCTATGTGTACTGCGTGGTTCTTGCTGGCGAGACGGTAGCGCGGGACAGGGGAGCCTGAAGGGGAGACTGGAGATCTGCTTGCCTTGGAGGCAAGGAAGGAGTAGGGTGGGAGGTTGGGGGCTTTCTCTTAAAGGTACAGGGTGCCCAGGTGACAGACCAGGCCAGCAGGTTACAACAGGGAGGCTGCTGCTGCTGCTCAGGGGAGAAACAGCAGAGAACTGAGCAGAAGGCAGGGTTTATGTAGTTTCTTGGGGCTAGGGGTGGAGTTTTTCAGGGTGGAACCTTTCCAGGGAGGAGATTGGTGGGATTTCAAGCTCAGATGGCGGTTTTTCACTCTGTTGAGTGGGGACAGGATCCAGTCATTAAGACGGCTAGTGTTCTGTTAGTGGAACCTGATAGTTAGAGGTCCTGGGGGAGGGTCCTGGCCACTCGTGTAGCTCGAGAGGCTTCCATTCTCCGCTTTGTTGTTTATTATTGATAAACAATCAATTTACAGGAAGGGGCGATGTTATCATTTGACTATTTCCTCTTGAATTGGGGCATAGAAGTCTCTTGGGTATACTTGGTCTTCATTGTCTGGGTATAATCTGAGTGGCTGGCATCTAGCTCTGTAGCTAGGAGTTGGTAATCCTGCAGTATCAATGGGTTAATAGTCTGGTTAGAAATCTTTTGTATCTGGCAGGGCAGTGGTGGCGCTCACCACTAATTCCAGCACTCAGGAGGCAGAGGCAGGTGGATCTCTGTGAGTTTGAGGCCAGCTTGGTCTACAGAGTGATTTCCAGGACGGCCAGGACCGCTATACAGTCAAACCCTGTCTCAAAAAACCAAACAAAGAAAACCAACCAAACAGAAAAAACTCTTTTGAATCTGTTGTTGAAGAAATCTAGACATGAAACTTATAAGGCAGGGTGTGTCTAGTAGGATTAAGAGAAGGAAGAGAACAGGGGTCAAGAAGAGCGGTA